AGACTGATGCGGGACATTATCTCAATATGCGACGTGCGGTCCAGCACAAAGTGGGACGGGTGCTGCTCACCCTTGTGAAAATACACTTAACTTTTGGAAAGAAGACACTTTTTCTAATTTCCGCATAGTATAGTCCATATACACACAAGGGAACGAAATTTTGTTTCACTTGGACCACAGTGCCGCAAAGAAGAATTAGAATCAGAAAAATATGAAGAAGGAATGAGGAAGAAATAAGTACAGACATAGTGCAGACATACATGATAATAGAGGCATCCAAATGAATTTAATAAAAAAAAATATAAACACAATGACAATATTAAAACTAAAACAACATTTAAGTAATGCAAGATAGTACAGTAATAGAAATGTAGGCCCATATGACTGTACAGATAGGGCCCATGTTATTTACAGGTGTCCAGTTTAAGATGCTATTGGCTACAGATGCAGGCAACAATTTTGAGATGTTATGTACAACGTGACAGTTATGAAAGAGTGTATAGTTATTAGAGTTTTATCTGTTCAGACTGTAGGGCAACAGTTCAGAGAGTAATTGGGCTGTGTGTGTGGGGACCAAAGTGATTTTCTTAGCCCTTTCATTAACTCTGGAGGTGTAGAGATCTTGGAGGTTGAGCACTATCCGCTGCGGTCGGAGTCCCTACAATTCCAACGCCAGAAAGTGATTTAGCTGACTGAAACACTCTATATTATTTCTGTAGAATGTGGTGAAGATGGATGGCAGGGGTCTTATCTTGCTTTCTTGGCGCCACAGGAAGTGGAGACGTTGATAGGCCATCATCTGTGGAATATGGAGAGGGGGATACCTTATAGCAGGTCGAAAATACGGTCTGAAAAAATCTGTATCCCACTATAACTTTAGTCAGGAAATAGGAAATGTGTTCATATTCACTGCTGTTATTAGACATGATGTACAGTATTCACAAAATAAAACACTTGATGATAGGCCATCACCTGTAGATTTTAGGGGGGGGGTGATACATATTTTGGCAGGTCGAAAATACGGTCTGAAAAAATCTGTATCCCACTATAACTTTAGGAAATGTGTTCATATTCACTGCTGTTATTAGACATGATGTACAGTATTCATAAAATAAAACACTTGATGATAGGCCATCACCTGTAGATTTTAGGGGGGGGTACATATTTTGGCAGTTCGAAATACGGTCTGAAAAAAATCTGTAACCCACTATAACTTTTGTCAGGAAATAGGAAATGTGTTCATATTCACTGCTGTTATTACACATGATGTACAGTATTCATAAAATAAAACACTTGATGATAGGCCATCATCGGTAAAATCGTTGTTTGCCATTGACCAGCCTATGTTTAAGTGCAATGCATTATTGAATCATTTGGTAATAATTCACCATGGAAGGAGGAGGAGGGGGGGAGGGGGGTAAGAACAATTTTATATCCACAGGCTGTTTGCTTGTGAAACGATATGGTCGTCTTAGTTTTTCAGTACATTCTCGTGAGAATTGATCCATTTCGTGCATGAAGCTAGATCGTTTGCCCACAAAATAATTTGTTTTTGATGGGCCACATGATATCTGTCTTTGCTAGACCTCGTCGATAAAAAAACAAAACAACAACAGTAAAACGATGACTTAAACAATTCACGTGTTATAGTTTAATTCATCTTGGACATGACGCACCTCCTGCTGAATGCCTGCGCGCTCCCGCGACCGGGGATACACTTCCTTTCAGGGGTAAGTACCTTGGCACGACACCGGCGGCATCATTACATTTTCATCAACAGCTTACCAACTAGATTGTTATAGCTATATAGGCGCTCAGTTTTTCCTGTTGTAAAACACATCTGGGCAAAATCGCATTTTAAAAAAAATTAAATGCTACTGAATGCAATTTAAGTGCAGGCTATGTATTGGCTATGACTATGTCAAATGCTAGCGCAGAGCTCTCTCAGCTCCCACAATTCTTAATCAGGCATCAAAATAAATAACATATGAACTTTTAGACAACGTGCTTAGTAACGGAGAGCTCAGCTGATGGTTGCTTAGCAACGACAGACGCCTCTGGAGCGCAACCGCCCTAGCGCTTCTTTGGAAAAAGGATAAAATGCGCGCGCCTAGCGTTTTCTACGCGTTTTTAGGCGCGATATGTGAATACACAGCTCTTTTTAAGATCTTTCATTTTAAAACAGACAGATAGACTTAAAGGGTGACCAATAGCATTAATTTATTGAAAAAAAAAATGCCACCACCAAAAAAAGGGCACTTCGACAAAAAGGGCACAGGTTGAGCCCTACCTGTGCACGTGCCTGTCTGACAAACCCTAGTCAGACAACATGCAAATAGTCCAGCACAAACGGTTTAATGCACTGCAAGCCTGCAGCGATCAGGGGTGAGCATCCAGTTTGGTGATTGGGATATGCCTGTTTAATGAAGTCATCTTCTGCTCTTGCATCAATCTTTTCCTGCGACTGGTAGTTGAATACAACCCTATGACTTACATAATGTCCTTCAATGGTGCTCCGCTCACAGCTGCTGAAGGCATTGTGGGACTTGATGCATTTTAGGAATGCTCTTGCTGGGGCATCACAAATGAAAGCATTCACTTTTATATTTAATGTTCCATTTTGGAACTCAACCCCATGTTGTTGGAGTGCCTTCAGTTCTGTTAAAAAACTGGACGTTAATCATTAACGCTGTTTGGTTTGCAACGATAAACGGCTCAAAGTTTTTCACACTACAAAGAATGGGCCAAATTTTTACATCGGGATGATTTAGATAATCTACACTGAAATTTAGCAGCATCTCATTTTCTGTTGAAAAGAAATCGGGATACTGTGAGCACATTTTCAAAAGTCCCGTCTCCACACAAGTAGAGGAACTGGCCACCACATAGATCCCTGACTTCTATTTGAGGTGGAGTTCCTAACAGGGTTCTGCATCTTTTGGCAGCGGTGGCCATGTTTACGTAACACCAAGAGTAGCTCATCAACCGATGTGCGCATTGCCTTATTTTTTACAGAAATGTGAAATGTGTTCCTTTACTCCTCCTTGTGGACAAATCCGGTATTGCACCAACCCGCTTCGGCACGTAACTCTCCCTCATCCACGGCACGAACTTCTCCGGAAATCTCCGATCAGTCGTTCACCACGCTGCTTCCAGAGTCACGGTCACGGCACCATTGTAACAGTGTTGTCTCTGTGTTGTGTTGTTGTAAACTCAAGATGGACACCAAATCAAGCTGTCACAGTGTG